AAGTGAAACATAACCCGTCAGAAGTTATTTTATTGCTCGATGAAACTCCACGTACTTTCAATTGAAAATTATAGAGTGTATAGTGTTTTAGGAGAGGAGAAAGTGACTGGTAAGCTACACTGTGAAATCTAGCAAAATTTTTTTTATTGAAACGAAAATTTTATAAGTCGTTGATTATACGAATGATTATTTTGTCATATTTAATATGAATACTTTCTACTTGCCAGTAATTTTCACGTGTATCAGTATCTTGAAATTTTCAGCATAATCGAACGTGATTGAAAATGTGCCCGAAAAAAATATATATAACTCGTTTTTCATTTTCATTTTACTCTCGCGTTGTTACCTCGATATCATGTTGCTGGATCTCTTTCCATAGATAGCAACTGCGACTTAGTCACACGATGGACGTTTCCTATGTGAATTCTCTTCGATCTTCGTGAGACTACAACATATCGTAACTCATTGAAGTTGTTGCTAAATCAACGTTCAAGATTTGAAATCCTCTGAAAATTAAAAGGCTTATTGTTAGATAGTTCTATATTTTTTTAAATCATTTAAAATCATTCAAAGAGAGTTTCAGAAACTCGTTCAAGCTTATACAACAATGAAACACTGTTTGAACCTTTAATTGAAGATAGTTTAATTCTAGAAAAGCTTAACTCGACATTAGAAAATGCTTCTTTAGCACGCAATAACTTCAAACGTCATAGAACTTCAAAAATTTCCTAACTTTTTGCATGTTAACTCGTCATCCTTGATTAAAACACTGGGATCATTGTCGTTTGAATATTATTTAAGAAATCTGTCTCAAAGATCTTACGACATCGGAAGATATTTGTATAATTCTAACATTAAGAAATATATAACACGTTAGAAAATATATAATGACACTCGTTCAACATTCTTCATATTCTACAATGTGAGTGAACGAAAGGGAAATATACTGAATGAATTTTCGATCGACGTAAGATCTCATTCTCGTCCGATCATCGAACTACCCATCACCGCAAACAGGTTTCGACGTTTTACGGCTGTTTCAAGATTTCCAGAATGCGATCCAATTTACGATAACGATCCTTGTCCCGATACATGTTGCAAAGTACGACGGCCCTGAAGTCTGAACCGCAGCGAACGTTCATACATGCTGGCCACGCAGTTTCTACTGACAGTTCTCAATCAGGGATGATTGGGAACGTTCGACGATTCTCCTCGTGCGTTTTACATACTTCCTTCCTAGGAACATTCTTGCCTGAGTGACTCCTGCCGTCTTCACTTTCCACTGTCTCTACTGAAATTGATAAAACTGACCGTGAACAACTCTTATTTACATCTTTCAATTAAGTTTTAATTACTCGTATTCACATATTATTTATACTTTTAGTTTTAATTCAGTAGCTGTTTATATTCTTAGTTCACTCCAATTTTTGTACTTTCACAAGGAATTATCTAAACTTTTAGTTTTAGTTTCACTGTTGATCATTTTCGTTGTTATTCACATTCGCGGTTTTAAAGTAAAAATAAAATCGCTAAAAGTATGAATGCTATTTATATTCCTCGGTTTGTTGAGAATTTTCGTCACTTCTTCTATCCGCAACGGAAATACATCAAACTCGACTTGCAAAATCCTATAAAATACGAAATTTTCTAACACGAAGAACCACCTGTCGCAAAAGTAACGATAGCAGGAATCTCGAATCTACAAAGATAAGCTCGAGAGGCGTAAATTTAGTTTCATGACAGGCGAAAGGTAAAATGGTTAGTTATTCCGTCGACGGTGTCAATGATAAATTATGAAATCCTTAATTCAATTATTGCACTATAACTCTCGGGTAATTCATTCGATCGTAAAATATCGCGTGCTGCAAGAATTCAATTAACGCACCTGATAGTCCCGTTGCCTTTTGCGGAAAGATTCTTTCAGCCGAGGAACGTAAGGCTTAACATGTGATAAAGGCTTAAAATTATGCAAACGACTCGCGCAAATTTTACGAGGGGGCCTTGGAATGGGGATAACGGAATCGAATTTTACCGATTCAGCAAGTGTGTTTCCTGTATCGATGAGACTTTTATCGACCGTACAGAAGAATGCATTTAATTGCCAATTATATGTGCCTTCGCGATTATTCTTACTTTTTCTTATTATCGTTTTCGATTTTTATCACTGTCGGTCTTTGTTATTGCGGTTATTAATTTTAACAAATATTTACAATAACAGGTCTTACATTTTGACAATTTTTCAATATGTTGCCAAGATTTGTTCAAAGCACAATATTATCAAGCTTTGAACAAATAACACATTAAAAAATGTCGCAACGATAAATTAAAAATGTGATATTTAAGAGATATTGGAGGTGGCTCCATTTCTGTAAATGTTTATTTTAATTTTTATTATTATGTAGCGATCTTTGTAATTAATTTATAATTTCGACTTGTAATCGTTACAATTAATTTTTATTACCATTTACAATTGTAATTGAGAAAATGTCATAGATAAGGTCGACGTGTTAGGTACTTTGTATTAATAAATTTTTCTGCTTTTAAATGGTTATTTAACTACGATACTTTGAAAATTGACGATTTGTACCTAAATAATGAACTTATTTCGATGGAAAATATTATTTTAATTCTCTTTTCGAATAGTTTCAAGATAAAGCTTGGGAAGGAAGATTTTGGGATCCTTTTAGAAAGTTGGCCACCGCGAACAGGTGTAATTACGCTTCAAAATCGTAGAATAATAGAGACAGGTGAAAGTCTTGTGATCGTGATTATCATAGAGATGGATCTCCCGTTATAAAGAAATAAATTACCTGACAATTGGTTTATTCGTTCGAACAGGAAACACGAGATCTAAGAATTCCGCATGTATAAAATTAAACTGTAACCGGCATGTGTTCTTCCTAGATACAACTTCTAATCGAACGATAATTATCAACACCGTCTTCACTTTCCAACATTAATTTAATTAACATTAATTTTTTACGCACTTCGCGAGTATCGATAAACAAATCAAAGTAGATTAGTTTGTCATTTGTTACAAATTGTTTCAATAAATTATTAATTTAATCAACTTGTCACACTATCTTCGTGCGAGTCAACCTTCTTTTCGAATCTTTGAAAATTTTATTTTTATTCAATTTTCAATCACAGTGTAAGGCGGATACGTCGCGCGTAGAACTATAGTTTCTGTAATTATTGGCAGCAAGCTAATTAATAAGGAGACAGGGAATAATTGAGAAACAAAAAAACGCGTGAACGATATAATCGTGATGACAATTCGTCGGTACAGTCTCGCGATGAAATCGACAGAAGATCGAGAATTTAATTTCGCATTCTCAGTCAATTATTCGCGAATTTCTCGCTCTATTAAAGTATTTTCCTCTCTTTATCTTGATGGATATTTAATTAAAAGAAAACATGCTACTTTTTGTTCTCAACTCGCGTGACGTTCCGACGCTTGTTTATTCAAATGAGACCTTATTGCCTTGAACCACTTACATTTCAATCTTAACCGTGGCACGTTATTTCATACTCTCTGTGAGATTAATTGATGATTTATCTTATGTACATGCATCTAGATACTTTTATTTCTCGTTTCAGAGATGTGAGCGCACGAAGATTGTTTAAAGATGTTTAAATATGATTTCTTGGGAAATTTATATCAATAGCAGAAGCTAGAAAACGTAAAGAAAATTAATGGAAGTATTAAAACTTTTTGAAAGATAGTCCTCGACAAAAAGGGACGTAAAAATATTTCAATCAACATTCCAATGGAATTTATGTTCCTCTCGTTATATCGTCTGCATTTATCTTTCGGTTCTCTCCCTCTTTTTTCGAATCCTCGAAATATGACGAACTTGATCTTGTGTCATTTTTATGACAACCAAGATCCCTGGTCCTTGAGCATACATAATTTCACTGATATACGATAACTGAAAATAAAATACTAAAAGAATTAGATTTATGACAACGTTTACTGACAAAAAAAAAAAAATCTCTTACAGTAGTTGAGTGTACATACAATAAATCTTGCATTTTTTTGGGGGGTAACAGGAAACGGTAAACAAAAAAAAAAAAAAAAAAAAAAAAAAAAAAAACTTGCATTTTTTTGGGGGGAAAAAGGAAAAGGTAAAAAAAAAAAAAAAAAAAAAAAAAAAATAGGAAAAGGATGTATGCATATATAGGATCGAATCGCAAAGAGAAACGTCGCGATAAAAAGAAATCGCTTTTCTTCGATTATACCGAAGAATTACTCTAGAAAAACGTTTCATCAACGTACGAAAACTTAATAAAATAATCAACCGACAATGGTGGGGCTTTAATCAGTTTCCAAGGGGAAACACTCGTAAATATATTATGTATAAAAAGAAGAAGAAAAAAAAAAAAAAACAATACGTACGAAGATATCACAATCCACGATTAATAAATTTACACGCGATTCCCGTGCTTAATCAAGAACCAATCGCCACCCCATCGAGAGAGACTAGAATGATTAAGAATTATATGATCGACGATTGAAACTTTATATAAACGTACGTGCTTAATAAACGATTCGTTAATGACAATACGGATAATAGTAATTATTGTTGCGTTAGATCGTCGTGTACAATTACGACGAGACGATAGGGAAATAACCGCATCCATATTATTGTTTTCGTTTTTCTGTTTCGATTGACACCACGCGCTTACAATGATGCGAATTTATGTACAGTGACCGTGAGTGAGAAAAATACGTCTGACGTATACGTATAAAACGACGTATAACACGTCGTCGATCGTTTCGCGTTGCCACGAAATTTATACACGCGACGAGTTGCGTAACCGATCGTTTACATATCAATGTTTCTTCGTTTCAACGAGTTTTTTCTTTTTTCTTTTTTTGTCAAACGCGAACAAAGTCAAACTTATAACTAGATAATTTCATGTCTCTTCGTGATCATACATCTTCGTCTTCTTTCGTTTCTTTTTTGTGCGTGTTTGAACTTTTTTTTATTCAATACTCGTGTTTTATCTTACGAGGCACGTGAAATCGCTATGTTAAAGGAGAAACACCGATATGTATAACGAATCTTCGACTGGCGCATTAATTGAAGAAAATAACGCTAGATACACTATAGTAATACTAAACGATAGAGAATCTTAGACATTTCCTCAGCGTTCGAATAAACAAACGGTGAAGAACGGCCTGTTAATCCTAACTGTACAGACTGCACGTTGCTTTACGTTTGTATATTTGCATTGCTAAATCATCGTTCTCGCGTTCGCTGCTATCCAATTTAACGTTCGATGCAAAATATTCTTCGCCTTTCACGTCGTATCGGCACTTTTTCCTCGAAATCTGTATGCACTTGAGTCAAAGTATTTAAATTAAACAAGTTAGGCTGCGTTGCACCGTAATATTTACAGAATCTGCGTAAGCATCGAAAATTGTTTCTTCTCCTCGCAAAATTTTTCGTTCCAAGTACATACATAGTGACACCAATGTGAAATACTAAAACCACGTATATTGGACGGATTCTGACTCTCACATTCTTCAACATTCCATACACAATACAGTTTCTAGAAAACATCAGAAGCTTTTCTTTTTTCTTTTTTTTTCTGCTCGTGTCTCACACGCGCGTTTCCAGTTCCGAGCTGGCAAATATCGTAAGAAGAAACCACTCTACTGACATAATCCTCTCGTTCCTCTCCGCGAAACCGCACAGGTTACCTCGTACAAAGAAAAAGAAGACAAACATCGCACTGCTCGCATTCACGCGTTTCATGAGCATCGATCAGGTGTCGATCGAAACTCGCGCGTACTTGAAGATTTCGAAATCTTGAAATTGTCCATCCGATCGTTTATTGGACACAAGTCGATTACATTCGCAGATCAATGATCCGATCGTGTGCTTTAGAGAGGAGCAAACGATTTCAAACGAGCAAAGGATTTCAAACAGAGATTCTTCATCGAGCGCATGTTTCAATCGGTACATTCTGATGCGAAACTCTCGAGATCTACGTAATGTCCGTTCATATTATCCTCGAGTAACTGCGCCAGATCTCTCCTCAGAGTCTGGAACTCTGGCCTGCGGTCGGGATCGGCGTGCCAACATCGGGATATCACTCTGAACAGCTCGCTTCGGCAGTGCGAAGGCCTCTCCAGTCGGTAACCGTTCTGCACGTTCCGCATCACTTCCCGTGCCGTCATGTCCGGGTACGGTGTCGAACCTGCACCGCAGAAATTTGTTCTTCCGTCAATGATAACGTTGGAAGACGATTTGGTAGAGAGTAAAAAATTTTCACTGGGACTTCAATAAACGTTTTTAAAAATAGAAAGAAATGCAACGAGAATTTATATTATGTATCGTATTCAATAAAAGATACGTATAAGCTGTTAATTCGAATTCAATTTTTGTATAAGTCGAAAATAAAATGCAACATTTAATAAAATACATATAAATACTTTCTAAATTATTCTGAAACGTAAATTGTCATTTATAAAATATATAATGTATAAAATATAAAATATATAGTATGATTTTGTATAATTTATATAAATATAAAATATAAAATATATAATATGATATTATATAATTTATATCAATATAAAATATAAAATATATAATATGATATAAATATAAAATATAAATTATATGTAATATAATATGATATTATATAATTTATATAAATATAAAATATAAATTATATGTAATATAATTAGAATATATAATTTATATAAATATAAAATATATAATATGTCAGTTTCATAATTAACAAATTTGTCACAATTAACTGATTAAAGCGTAAATGAAATAACATCACGAAACAGATAAAATCAAGGTACTGATATTATAATAAAACAATTCTGACGACACTTCAAATTGAAAAATACCACAAATCACGCTTACCTAGAGTGACGATCTCCCACATCAGGATGCCGAAGCTCCAAACGTCGGTCTTAGTTGTGAAGAGGGAGTAGATCAACGACTCGGGCGCCATCCACCTTATCGGCAACGCGTTCCTCCCGTGTCTCGTCTCGATCACTTCTCCGTCTTCGTTCGCGAATCTGGACATACCGAAGTCGGCAATCTTGCACAGCTTGTTATGGTCCACCAGCACGTTCCTCGCGGCGAGATCGCGATGGATGATCTGCAAAAATCGAATAAAAACACGCGGCTCGATAGATGGTTCTTCCATGAGACAGTGACCGCAGGTGGACGTCCTGTTACGCAACCACGCTGCACCACATCACACACGGACAACGCACACCGGTATCGAGTGACAGGATGAGCGAAATCGAACCCTCGATCTGGTCACATCCTTACGGGAAAAAAGAAAAAAAAAAAAAAAGGAAGGAACATCGAAGCGTCTTCTGGGTTTTCTCGAAGATATTCGTCGACGACTTTCGGCTCAACGAATAGATTTTACAACACGCTGGTTCCGCATTGCTCGGCTTCGTAATACGGCGGCAGCGGACACGTTATTGCTTCTTATTTATTGCACGACTGATTTATCGCGCGTTTGTCGCACTGTTGTTCGCCATGGAAGCCGGACTCGATTTATTTTATGCCCGTTTGTGGTCGCCAGCCACCGTGGGCCTCGCGAACTGTACGCCTCAATGGAAATTGCTTGGCGCATAAATCGATAAACACAAATAAAATTGTTGTTCGTCAAGCGGTGATGTTTACCCACCGATGAAAGCTTCGATTAGCGAGTAAATAGTGTTGAACTCTGTGGCAGAGCTCCGTTATAGCCGGTCGTAAGTTCGAATCTCTCGGGAAATGCTTTCAGTAAAGAACAAGGATTTCAGGAAAAAAAAAATCGAATTGGAAAAATAGCCTTCAGAAGTTGCTTTCTATCTAAAGTTGCTTTCAATCAACATGATATTATCGATACATAATTTTGATTTTATGTTAGAAAACAAATAGGCCATCATCAACGTAAAATTAAACAAAAATTAAAAACATAAACTATGAACGTGTAGCTAATTCATCTTGTTATTAAATCCAATCGTAAGGAAAATTTTTATATAAACAAAATGAATCATATTAAGAATGAAAGTAAATCATTCAGTTGGAGGAAAATTCAGTAAAAAGATCCACGAAGATTTAACGCAACTGAATCTAACGAAAGATCTCTTAGTAGGAGTAAAAATAAATTATTGTAGCTTTTAAAGAAAATTTTGTAAAAAGTTTCAAATCAAAAATATGAATAATGTGCTGCCGGAAAATTGGGTGAGCGGACTCTCGTCGCTCGACCATGCCCGATGCTAATGAACTTGCGCTGTTCAGTGTCAAGGCGAGCTGGATACACATACGTCTTTGCCGTTTCTTTAATGACTTCATTTTCTAGATTTATAACGCGACCACCAGCGAAAAAAACTCGAACGCTAGGCTCATTTGTCGTGTTGACGTGCTCGCGATTTTTGCTCGCTCCATGACGTTTCGGGTGGATGAAGAATGTATTTTCGCGGCTATGTTCGCGCAATATAAGACGTCAAGGTGTTCATGGTATCCTGGTGTCACTGTATCAAGAAGAAAGAAGAAACGAAATGTGCGAAACTTTGAAAGATCCTTCGCACTCTGTTCAAATTTAAGTCATATTTTTGTGACAAATATTTTTAACGATTGTCGTATATTATTGCTTGTTATGTAGTTATCTTTATACTGCGTCATACGGAAGGAAGTTCTGTTTTCCCAGCTATTTCTCTGATAAACGTATTTTCTTTGTTTCAAGGAACCAACTGTCTTAATGTTTTTCTTTTCCTTTTTTTATCGGTGGAACGTGTCGAAGAAATTTCTTGAAACCATAATTTTTCAAAGTACTCTCGGTCCTAGGATAGATACACAGTGATTAGAAAAAGTATTAGCATTGAAACTGCTCTTGATCAAGTTGTACATTTTACTCGCTATTTAATTTTTAATATTTAATACTTCTCTTAATATTTAACTTTTCTATCCTATTAATTGCTAATTATTGTTAATTATTCTATGAAAATTCTATCGAGTGATATAAAATTTAAAATTAACTTTATAATTATAATATTCTTATTTCTCAGAAAGGCTAGATCCAAAAAGGAAAGATTGTTTCAAAATTCTAAGCGAAAATCGGCACTTGCTTCTAATTAATTAATATTCTGAATGTTGCAATAAATGGCGTGCAAATACTTCCTGTATATTCGCTGTGTATTCGTATTAAATCGCAATTTAAACTCCACGATTCGCACGAAGTAAGCATACCGATCTCCGATCTTAAACCAATAAACGCCTCACTGTTTCGAAGGCTTTAAATCAATTCATCTCGTTCGTGCATCAGCGGTGGCTTCCATTTTCAATTAAGGATAACTATGCACGCTGGCCTTGAGAAGAATTTCTGCGAACTCGTGTATAATCTTTGATTGAAATCGGCATCCTGACTCGGTTGCTCTTCAGTCGTCCTTCCAATGACGAGCATAGGATACTGATTCCAATCGAGAACTTCGTTCCCGCTGTTTCGATGCCTCGAGCCTACATCTTCGCCAATCGAATCATAACCGGTCGACGAGCGATGATATTTAACTACTTACCATTTTTCGTCTCACCGTCATTGATCCGACAAAAGAAAATCGCCGCCTCACCGTGTTATTCGAACAAAAATCTTCGGCTAACAGGAAAGCTTTGTTAGTTCCGGTTTTTTTTTTTTTTTGAAGGAAAGAAGGAAACTGATCGTTTTAATTGAAATCTCATCGTGATAGTCTGGTAGTTTATTTATTCCATAGCTGTTGACTCATTTTTGCTACGAAGATATTCCTTTTAATGTCTCTCCAGCTTGATTGTCAGTATTCTATTAAATATCTTTTTGAATTATTTCGTCGAAGACTCGATTGTTTCAATAGACAATTTAAAAAACAAAAATCGCGGGTAATTAATCTGTAATAAACTAATAAAGAGAAGAGAGTCCCACCTCCAGAATATCATTTTTATTTAAAAAAATCAATTATTTAAGAACATGATATTCGAACTAAAAGGAAGATAATTTTTTATTCTAGGAATATCTTTGACGCACAGATACGTGATTTCGAATGCATATTTTCAAGAAAAAGAAAAAAAGAATTAGATAAGCCAGTTCTTAAAGAATTTTTATACAACGCAACTTCGTCTATATCGCTTGGTGTACATACGTCTTGAAATGAATATTTTCATGCTCGAGGAGAGACAACGAAAAGATTCGAGCTACACGTCTTAAACAACGTTGTAGCCAGCAGCGATAGTTAACGATAGCTCGAGGCACGTATATCTCGCGGTTGCTGGGGCGAGAAAGAACCTTGATGTTCTCCATGCCGGAATGCACACTACCGTTTTCCTACCGATGAGTAATTATCGTCCACTAACTTCAGAAAATTAGCTTCCACGTGTAGCGGCAATTCTTCGAAGACGATTACACAGACGCCATTCGATATTCGTGGAGAAATAATTACGAACGATTCGATTGGGACTGTTCTAATCGAGGAATCGCTGATACTCCTCCGATAATATTGCTTCCATAGAGATAAATTTCGTTTTCACGTCGTTTAAATCGACTGCAATCATTAACGTTAAAATAACAATGCGTATTAAAATATTCTACGTATAAATCATTATAATTGAAATGTAGGAATGCTAAAATCTAGCGCGAATCAAGTTTGCGACTCGGCGCATGAAATTTGTACAAATTTTGTAAATTGTAAAATGACGTAAGGCGATTATAAATGATAAAATAAGAGATAACGAGGGTGTTGACAGTGTGGATCGTTGAATGGAAAAAAAAACAGAGTAAACTGAATAGACACTATCTAATAAAATCAATCTAATTTGATTTGATTAAGTTCACCATTGAGTATCTATTAAAATTAAATATAAAGATATTGAATATATGTAATATCTTGATATTACATTCGATTTTGATCGTTTAACGATCCAAATCACACAATAATTCAAATAAATAGATTTACACAATTTAACGCAATATAAGGAGAAATCAATATTAAGTTTTGACAAAAATACCCGTATCCTTCAAGAAACTGTGAAAAAAGAAAATTTGAAATTCGTCACATTGGCGAGTTATATCTAAATTTGCATTTATAAAAATAATTTCCACGAAGTTTCAAGTTAAAACATACAATGTTGACTCGAAGTTCCATGGAAAGAGTCCATTAAATGTCGCTGCGTGCATAGAAATGTTCGTTTTACGCTTTCGGAACGAATTATATGCTATCAGCAGGAATCTCGAAAGTGTAATATTTAACACGTTCGCATCATACTGTGGCTACGGATCGTGCATTCTTCAGCCTGAAATTTCCAAAATCGACGATAAGAAAAGAAAAAAAGCGGCAACTCCGACAACTGCTTAGCTTAGTTCCCAGCATGATTCAAAGTCTGTCCTACAGGTGCCTCTCTAGATTTCTTTTAATTTGCATAAACGACTTGTAGCCATCAGGATCAAAAATTTAGATCCTCGGAAAATCCCAAATTTATTTAACAATATTTCATTTCATCTCGAAAATTTGTTCTGTAATCAAAAATATCTCAACGAAATAATTGATAGATTTTTAACTATTCAATTCTCAAGTCGTGAAAAAAAAATTAATTATTGAAAATCACAAGTTTCCTCAAATCGAATAATTGAATACTGAAAAATTTACTGGAAAGTAGTCCAACGCCAGAAGGAATTTCACGAAGACAGCGGACAAAAAAACATTTAACCTTATGCTAATTTTCTTGCGAGGAAAGAACTCGCTTTAATTGGTAGAAACTTTTTCGCGTGTTCCCGCTAATGTAGGTTTTATTGCAAACGTCCGTAGGGTTGTCGAGTGACCATCTCACAATTCATCTCGATTCTCACCGTTCCATGGACCTTATTTTTACCTACTGACACAGATTCTACCTGACGAAATGACTCTCTGGCCCTGTACTCCTCACGACACTAATTGTAAGAAAATATTTGAGCTGAAAATATTTGAATACCATCGCTTTTACGATCTTCGCTTGTAATATATAGGCAACCTTGAAGGACAGAAGATCCGATTTTTAACGCGGAGAATTCATTCGACACGTTAGGTGGCCATTTGTAGAAAGCACTGGAGACTACAAAGGCGAAATTTTATTGTTTCATAACCTTCGACGTTCGATTTATGGCAAGTTTATGTACCTTCGTGATACTCGAGGATTTGTGAGAAAAGAATTTTCGTGTGTAGGAAAGAAAAAAAAAAAAAAAGAATTAAATGGAATTATAAATTTAAGAAAAAAGAATTTTCGCACGGAGAAAAAGTCCGAGAAAATATAAAAATATAAGAAATAAGAAAAGATAAGGCTGCAGAGGGAAAGAAATAACTGAGAAAATATAAAAACGTAACAAAGAGCTGTAAATTTGGAAAGAAGGAAATTTTTGTATAAAAAGATTTGGAAATACTCGTCACAAAAGCAAAATATTTTATCTCAAGAGGAGAAATTTTATCGCTGACATTTTTAAGAAGGGAATTTGTCTGTGTGCGATATTTATGAAACCTTGAATTACTTTTCTTCCCTTCTGCGAGATGAAATATGAAATCGATTACAGATTCGAAAAGAATTAAGAACAAGATCGGTATGGCATGAAGTAACAACATCGGGGGCAATACTTTGATATTAATGTTACGGTAAGTAGACGGCCGCTGTATCGTTTTTGTTTGCTAAGACTTCTCTCGAGCACGCGAGCATATAAGGTCATAATAAATTTTCGGCCAACACCGAGAGGTCCCGTAAGCGTAATGGAAGCACAAATAACAGGGCTGTAATAATTTAAACGCGGCCAAGAAAGGGTTCGTTTAATAATTCACAGATATTAAAATCTCTACACGATATTTCATTTAACATCCTTAAAAACAAACGTATGTATTTAGTTTCAAAATATTTTAGATATATTATATTATACGACTACGAAATATATATAGAAAAATTGTGATGGGTCTTTTACACGATTTTTCTATTGTCAGAAATTCTCAAAATGTTCTATGAAGAAGATCTCGTGCAATCCAATTCATTCACATTCTTATTAACTCGTTAAAGACTGTACCAACGCAACATTTCTCAGTTAATTTGTATTATCGACTTTGGTATACTGGCATTGTGATTATAAATCCTAAAGACCTGTTCCATACCTTCTCAGTCTCTGCTTTCTCTTGTCTCTTGAAGAGATTGAGGTTTCTCCAAGTATTTTCTAAATTATAAAAACTTTTTAAACTTCTGACTTTGTACAACAAACTTCTGCATATTACCCATTACTCTGATACATATTTTATTCTGACTTTCTGAGAGGAAATTATTTCAGTTACAGTCTTCTAATAACGTTGCATTCGGTCCTTGACGAGTTAAAAACCATTCACGCCAAAATATCGTACTACGTTAAAACGAAAAAAATGGAAGAAAGACGAAAGACAAAACGTCGTGGCGCCTTTATTCAAAATCTCACCTTTTTCGACGCAAGATACTCCATGCCCCTCGCCACGCAGTATCCGAAAACAGTGAGGTCTCTGGAGGTGAGCGCGGCCGAGTCTTCACTGAAATTGTAGAAATCCTGCCTGGTGCGATGATCGCGCAGGTACGCCAACAATTTCCCGTACATCACGTACTCCAGTATAAGGTAATGAGGCTCTGCGAACAAGTACGCGTACGATTGTGCAATTAATTTTCGCAGAATTTGCAGTTTGATCGGCGTTAACTTGGTAAATGAAGCGCGTGAACGAGGACGTGCATCGGAATTAGAGGATCCCCATGGCGAGAACACGAAGGGCCGCGCCATACGGACCAGAACCTCAAAAGTAATTTAACCGGAGCACTTTCGGGGCCCGTGTTGGTAGTATCCGGCTGATTGTAACTTATGGGCCCACTTTTGCTGGCTCCGCAAGCTCGTAACTTTCATATTAGGCTAGCATTTACCAGTCTCTCTAACAACTTTTGTTTATTAAGGAGCGTTTCTTTTCTTTGCTGGTTCGTTCCGCACCGAGCGAAATCTTTATACTCCCCGTCACAATATTTGCACGGTGGGGAGTACACATAACGTTGCAAATGGGTACAAGACACAGCGAATTTAGGGTTTCGTTTGTACAGTCGTATTCTTGGACAGCGAGTAGTACGTTTGTGTTACGATGTCAGAGGTGTAGATAAAGTTTAGTTAGATCTTACTCAATAATTATAACACAAAATATAAGAATATAGATTTTTTTTATGAAGCATAGATATGACTTTGGAATCATAGAATTGGAATTGGGAGGTGTAGATAAAGTTCAATTAGATCTTACTCAATAATTATAACACAAAATATAGGAATATAGATTTTTTTTATGAAGCACAGATATGACTTTGGAATCATAGAACTGGAATTGGGAGGTGTAAGATAAAGTTTAGTTAGATTTCATTCAATAACTATAACACAAAATATAGAAACAAATTTTTTTTTATGAAGCATAGATATGACTTTGGAATCATAGAATTGGAACTGAGATTTTATTCTTCAATCGTGTAGTGTAGATATTACAAAATTTATGACGAAGTGGAATCGTAGAATGATGATTTGATGACACAGTTATATTTGAGAACAAGGAAGCTTGTATAATTTTTCGTTACCACTAATGGAATAACTGTTGGAGATTTAAAATGAATCTTAAATGAAGACTTACTTATCGTTCGACTATCTAATCTTATAACCGCGTTAATGTTCTAAATTAAGGTTCTAGAATCTCATGACCAACTTTTCCTTATTAATCACAAAATTACTTGTTAGAATTAATTGTCGTCCAAAGCAGTCAGAACAACAATCGTAATAAATATTCCTCGACGCTGCGATCTCAGAAACTAATTTAAACCGCTAATTTAGAAATTAATCACTGGCGACATCGAAGAATGCCAACGGCATTCTGCACCTGGGCTAATAGGATTCTGAACAAACGGCGTGCCGCTACAACCACTCGAATGGCCAAAATTTGTCACTGGTAATCGGCGGTTGCCACATAATTAACACCAGGCGCGATACTTTATCGAACAGAAAACGAATACGACTCGTCGCGAGATCAGAGGAATACAATCTAGCAAACTACTACGAGCAAGATGGGCCTTTAGTTGTGTACCTAATTTATTCACGATAAAGTATTATGGATCCTCGTTTCGTGTGAGTAACGCCGACTGTCGATTAGACCTTTTAAAAAGGAAGAGGAACAAGCCGCTATCATCAAGGGACTTCTTTTAAAGATTGCTTAGGGTGTCAGAAGTTTTTCAACGTGCCACGAATGTATTTCTAACACAATACCTGAACAGACTGATTAATTCTATCTAAAAGTATGCAATTATTCGAATTACGTTCCCCATTTCTTCTTCTTATTATTCATGGAAGATAACGATGAAAGTTCTCCGAGGTTCGATGTATTTTTCCATCATTCAAAGGAGCTTTTCAGTACTTTTTTTGTTGAGATAGTTCTTTTTTCTCAATTTGTTGAAAAGGATCCCTTTGACAAGAGGCAGCCGTCAAAGGACGAAAACGTCGCCGGTGAGGAATTCGAACGCGCCCACCGTGACCGAAACGATAAATATGAGGGGCCAGAAGTTTCGATGCCGTAAATCTTGCGAGTAGGTTCACGCAGGCGTGTGTTTTTTCTTCTACACGCGTCGAACGTAGACGAAGGACCTTCGGGGTGGCGCGTCCCAAAACGAACACATCGCGCCAGCGTCCTCCGCGTGGACCTTGAGGACCTCGAGGTTCATAACTATCAGGACATTTTACTGCAACCTTTTCCTTGTACAGTTAAAAGGATATTAATTCTTTCAAGAGAAAACTGAATTCTTCAAATATTGTAAATCATTTGTGTATATAGGAAATTTAAATGTATTAAGCACAAATGCACAGAATATACATAATATGTGAACTATAAGAAAATAAATAAGAAATATTCATTAATTGCTTCAATCAATTCTGGCACTCGTGTTATTGACTATTCTATTGCAATCGTTCTTACTTAATTCGAAATTTCAGTTGAAATTGTAGGTGAGTGATTCTGAATTTCGTATCTAATTCATACGAGAGCTAACGCGTGCAAATTTTTCGTCTCAACAAATTCCTGCATTCGAATCAATAATCTCATTTTATATTTATACCTAATATTTATGAACGAGACACACGTAGACGTACAGAAAATCTTCCACGCGACTCGCAAAAGTATCCTGCATCTCAGAAATCCTAAAATGGCATCGCAAAAGCAACGTAGAATTTCGCTTCGAAACGTTATCACACGGTAGATGAAATTTTTCTGGACGTACGCCAAGAAGCTGTTTCCTGCCAGAGGAGGGGGGTGGGGGGGGGGGAGGAGGATTAAATTTTATACTATTACTAGACCAGTTTGACATTAGCATACAATCGCGAAAAAGGCTAGTCTGCGCATAAATATCGAGGGAGGACCGTAACGACGTCAAATCCAGATCGACGTCAGGACCGATCGTATCGATACCGGAGTATCCACTGTCTGAACGCCGCTACGAGCGATCATTTCGCCGACTTAATAGACGTATTGTGCTACGGGGATCGTCGCCGTGGGGACGCGTATGGAAATTTATACGATGAGAGCGACGATACCGACGAAAGCCTCCAACGAAAGACGTATAATGGGCCTCCCTCTTTGAAATCCACCACGACTAAAACTACCAGATTGTCTCGTTGCTGTTTTTGATGTCTCAACCATCGGCTCTGTCGTTGATGCAGTCGTTGATGCATATGAAATTTTAATTTCGCTTCTGATCATTCTTCGATTTATTTCTCTTCTATTTTTCGCCGCCTCTTCGAGATTTGATTCGCTGGGAATTTGATTCGTCTGACATCTCGAGCGCTGGATTTATATTATGCTTGTGCAACATACGTACATACATATATACGTATTATTAATGGTTTCAATTTTCGTCTGATCTTTTACGTATTCTTCTCTCGTTTATCTTGAAGAATTGATTCTTTCGAAAAAATTTTGATCAATGTGGAATTTTAATTGAAGAAAAAGTTCTTTTGTCCCATCTGGTCATTCATTTATTTATTCGCTTTTAAGATCTGTTTCATTGAAAAATGTTTTGCAAATTCTTTTTAAAATTGTAATTGCACTTTTAATTGAACAAAATTTTCCAACCCTATCTCGTCGTTTGTTCATCTTTTTTTCATTTCGTTCTCAAGAATCCATTCCTCGAAAAATTCATGCCAATGGCAGTGGTGTAGCAACCTTTCGAGAACGACACACGAGGAGTACTTGGTTTATCGTATTGAAACAGGTGGTCATTGTTTTATTATTCGAAGCGATCGTGTTTCGTTGCATTCCTCGGCGCAGTTTCGTGCATGTAACTGCGCACAATTGAGAAAACAAAAAAAAAAAAAAAACAGCGACAATTTGCTGGTTTATCGTCGCGTCGAAATAATTGCGTCCAATATCGAGAATCGTGATTACTTAGCGTTTGTAATGGCAATCTATTACACGTTGATTAATCAAACGAGCAAAATAACTTTTAATTATCTCGCGCTTCAACTTTTTAACGCGCCACGAGCTTCCACGGTAATATCGTGAAATAAAATTCACTTTGTGACGTTTCACAATCGATGTCTGTATCGCGAACAATATTTGTCGAACGTTGTGACACATAATTTGCTGACGTAGGGAAAATTCTGACGAATTAGCGAATTTCTTGTAAACGTATCATCGTGCAATAATAATAACTATACAACGTTGGTGTTTTACAAAATTTCTCAATCTAAAAATTGGCGTTCAACTTTCAAACAGTGAGAATGCCAAGAAATGACAAATTGAGAAGAGACTTTGCATCGTGACTTCTAATCTGTAAATTCTTCATTTCTTGCATTTCCAAACTTTTACAATTTCATAGTACTTTTCGTTCGCGAAATCTCTCACGTTTTCACGCTCTGCAATTTGCCTCAATCTGTTCGAATCGATCAGAGTAGCTCATAGCTCACCTGAGCACCTCGGACACAAAGGAATTCTCCCTCTCTCTCTCTCTCTCTCTGTCGCTGTGTCACCGTGTCTCCTTACAGAAAAGAGAAAAATCGAATTCAAGCATTGTCGCGATTATCCAACTCGCGTGTGCAACTCGTTAATCCTTCCTCCGTGGCGACTTCGCGGAGGCTGTACGCCAGAGCTATTACTCAATTACCAGCAGGATGATGGCGCGTAAACAGCGAGTATACTCCTCCGCTGGTTACCAGCGATCGATCTTCCTTTTATTTGCAAAACAATAGCGCACGCGTGTAAATGATCACGGTGATCGGTTGGGGACGAAGGGGAACGAGCACCTATCACGGCTGACTCAATGACGAGGAATGCATCTCTCTCTCTCTGTCTCGTGCGCGCGCGAGAGCGCATCCCCTAACGCCGTCTTCAATATGCATTACGCCGTGTTTCACGACGATACGATCTGCGGACGGTCGTCGAAAACACACGGAATCGTAAATAATTAAAGATGCGCTAGCCAAGCGAGATAAAGGCGCGACTTCAGAGGCGACTACGATCGAAACCAGTTATTATTGTGTGTAGTTTCGTGGGCTACGCGAGGTGTGAATTATTATTTACACGGGGAACGACGACGGCGTTGAACAACAGGGAGGAAAAAACGCGAAGGGCGTGAAAAAGGGGGAGGAATTTTTTTTTTTCTTTCGATTGCGGTTGTTTCAATTGCGCTGCAGATTGATGGTGAAATTTTTCTGGGAAATTCGAATGCGTAAGAAAAATTTCCGTTCAATTTTTCCAGTACATCCGTGAAAATGCAATTCATAAATATCCGCAGACTGATCGAAATTATAATTTCGTTCTTGCAAAGTTGCACGATATTTTCTGACTTCTTCTTTCATTCTCTTTTCGTTTTCTCTTTTTTTTTTTTTTTTTTTACGTTTGTAATGTTCGATTAAAATTGACTTCTGACATTACGTTGCGAAATTTAAGACGCTGAAGAAAATTGGAAGAATGCTCCTTACAATGGGAATACTAATGGCGACGTTGTTTTATGCGACAGGCGTCAGAGTGGAAAATCGAAAAACAAGCGTTTGAGAGGACATAAACAGGCTGGAATGTCACTTTTCAGATAAACGAAGCCTCTTCTTAGGCGCTTGATTACTTAATCATCGTCTTCTGCAATTCTGAGGGTTCTCTGTAATAAATGAACCGCCACTTAAAGTGCAACCAGTTTTTGCGAAGCTAGTCGCCGAGGTTTCGCGCTGGCAAGGTCAGAAATAAATGACTCGTGAACTTGGTAATAAAATAATATCCATCGTATTCGAACTACGTAAAACTACACCTGCGACATTTATTTAATGAATGAGACTTAACTACCACAGCCAACTTTTCTTTATACCCTTCGTGACCGTATAAAGATATGGAATGATGGATTGTTGGTCTAAGAAATGAGATTTTACCTTTTTAAAAAAACCAATTGGAAAAATAAAAAATGTCTTGGTTATATTTTCCTCTTTGGGTATCAGATATTTCAGTAAATGATAGTTTATCAGCAGTTTCAGTTCTGTAAAAATATTAACGTGGTATCTTAGAAATACTACGAATTACAAAAGAATATTTTTATTCAATTCTTTCGTCAATATTTTAATCGGCCTAATTTGAAATTAAAAAAATTATACGAAGTATTATATGAATTAATGAAGTTGGTTCAACTGTGTGAGCCTACCTTGTTCCGTGCAACAACCTAAAAGAGTGACGACGTTCGGATGACTGCCAAGTTGCTGCATAATTTTTAGTTCTCGAACTAGATCCTCCTTCTCTCGTTCGGAAGCACCTTCCTTGACGGTTTTCACGGCCACTAAACGAGTCGTTCCTTGATGGCCAGTCAAATCGTCTGCCTCAGCCTTCCAAACCTAAACGACAAAACGAAAAAAAAAAAGAAATACAACATGAATTCGACTTTCTAATAGGATTTTAATTACAAGCCTTGTCCTCAGGGCGTGGAACTGCAGTTCTGACGTTCTAACACAAAATTATATAACAGATAATTACTTAACAAAAGTTCTCTTGATCGAAAGAAAGAAAATGCTTTACCTGTCAATTAAAACAGTATTAAAACTCGTTATACATTACATTGCAAACTAATTCTCCCACTGGACGATACTCTAAACGACGGATTCTTCGAGAATTCTTACACAGTAAATAGTTGTGTAATAAAAAGAAAAATCTACTACCGGCAATCGATCAAACATTCACTGATTGTTCGCTTGGAAATTTAATTTGATTGAATGAACATTCCAGGAATCTTTAAATCAAAAGCAATTCGAACGTCCACGCAAGGAACAAACAAATTAATGAACGTTTAAATCGCATTATGTCACCGCGAGTTCCGTGAATTATTGCATAAATAACAATCTGAATCATCCGTGGAAACAGACAATTTGATTAAAGGGAATTATAAACGATATAACACGATGAAACTGTCAATCTCAGAACGAACGATGTTTCTCCCAAAAAATTCTAAATCATTCAATAAAACAGACGATTTAATTTAAAAAAAAAAAAATGATAAACGACACGACACAAAAAAAAAAAAAAATAAAAAAGAAAGACTACAATATTCCTTTTAAAAGGTCGGAAGAGTGTTCCAAAGGATAAGACCGAAATTTCGCGAGTGGCGCGCGTTTCACGTTAACGTCCGACGATTTATTATCACGGACTCTCTCCGTCTCGTGGGACCCCGGTTCCGTTTCGTTCCTGGTTTCGTTCGAAGAAGAGACGAACGCCTTACCTGGCCGAAGTTTCCTTGGCCGAGGACCGTCTGTAACCTAAGCTTATCTCTAGGAAACTCCCATCTGGATTCTTGCGACGACGGAGGCGGTGGTTTCTCCGCTTCGTGACACTGAACAGAAAGAAAAGGCCGTATTGAATCGCGAACGATAATTATTTAAAAATGCCTGACGAATAAATCTGCGGCCGACCAGTTCCCTTTGATGTGACCGGCGAAACTACGGGGCGAAAAGGTGAGCAGAATGCCGTTCTGCGTTGTGAATTATCGTCTCGTCGCGGCGATTATTTCCGAATGAACCGTCGAAATAGATAGCGATAGCATAGAACTACGTGGAGATGGTCGAGCAGCTCGATCATTTCAACTTAAATTAATTAAGTAAACCCTTAATTACGACACGGTCGTTTGTAATTTTGACTCTATTACGTTACATTATATCGTACATTATCTTTCAATGTTTTATCTTTTTATTTTGTTGTATTATACTCACAATTAATGGAGAATTTCAGCTTTAGAGTTTGTACTTTTTTTTTCTGTATTATATTTAGTGGAGAATTTTAGCTTTAGAGTTTCAACATTTTTTTTTTTATTCAAGAGCAAGACTCGAACGAACGATTAAACAAAATGATCCTGACTGCAGGACAAAAATACGAACGTCTGTAATCGAAGGTTAACAAATTACTTGAATCTTTTATTTAGAAGTTATTTGATAATCTTATTTTATTGCTTATTTCCTTTTGCGATGAAAAATATTAACGATTCATAGACGAATTTTGATTAGTTCAAGAAGATTACTTCAACCTTATCTATTACGATTGACTTCTGATAAAAGTTTCATTCAATTTCACGATTTCGAACATGCAAGCACGTGACTCGCAGAAGAATCTTAACAAATTTAATAACGTACAATTGATTACTTACAAATGGAATAAATCGTATTTATTATGATTGACTAAAAATAAAAGTTGCGTTCAATTTCATGATTTTGAACACGCATACCATTCGCCATTGGGGACGAAAGACTTTTACGCGCGAATAAATAACCACTTTATATTCTATTTGCACCATTTTCATTCCACTTGTACATAATTTTTAAATACGTGAAAAATATGCAAATGCATACCAAGTGCTGTATCCTCGGAAGCTTCGTGATCGCCTTCTCGATGGATGTTTTGAAGTCGCCATTTTCAAGGTTCAACGCGTCCTTCCGGCAACTGATTTCCGACGACGTGTCCGACTCCTCCAGCACCTACGAAAAACATTAACGTCATCGTGTTGTTTATACATGTACACTCGAGAAGAACGATCGAGCGTTTCAACAAATTTACGTGAAACTTTCATTTCGTTCCTGGTAGTATTTTCGCAGTTCGTGACTCGAGCGACCGTGTGCAATAACAAGCAGTCATGTTTTTGTCGATCGTCTTGTTTATTTAATTACAGACGTTCGACAGGTACCATGAACCGCCTCGTTATGCGAAGAAACGTATTTTTGTAACGAACGAAGCGAGTTTCGTATGTAATCGTGAGAACGAAAATTGAAAATCCGCGGTATGCAAACGAACGTGAACGATGTCGAGGGAAAATGTCTTTGACGCAAACGCGAGAGAAAATACGTGACTCGTTGGCTCTTTTGCCAATTGAGAGGATCATTCTCGTTGCATTTGAAAAAACTGTCTCCCCGATATCGGAATAAATTACTTTTTAATACCACGATTCGTCATGAAACACGAATAACTCTCTGTTTTAAAGCAATTTATGTACGTCAATGTTTAAATATTCTTGCTTGAGAATTGAAATTGAATTTCTCTGCCTATCGACGACAAATGTGCTTTTAAACTTCAATCGATCGTTCGAGGATCGTTAAACAAATTCTTTCAAATATTTCTTCTCCCCCTAATGCTTCAAATTGTCGCGATTTTTCAACGACGAAGATTTTTCAACTTTTTTTCCATTAACCTTTATCCTCGTCGGATGACGCGTAATGAAACGCTTATCAAAGACAAAGGCGCGAACGAGCTTCGCGTTATGTAATTCCGTGTTTAATTTCTTATCCCGAGACATTATACTGTCTGATGTTGAGATTTTTATATTATAATATACAAATTTAAATATATAAAATAATATATTTACAAATTTATTTCCTGTTATAAATAATATTAAATTTTTCAATACAAAACAATCAAAATATTGAAATATTTGGATCCAGATGCAATACAATTTAATGAATCAAATTAACTATTAATTTATAATTATAATAAATATATATATAATATTAATATTATATATATAATATATAATATATAATTAATATCATATATAAAATAAATATAATTAAATATAATTATATATATATATATAATATATATAATATTAAAATGAAATAAAATTTTCCTTTTTATTTAGCAAAACTCCGATAGATCGAAGTACGCGAAACGACACACTGTGTGTTTTTATTGGGAAAAAGTGGATGGATTTTTCAGTCGATGCGAGAAACCTAGCCCTCGCGATCAAACGATCTGAATCATCGTGATCGGCAAAATTTATCGTGACTATTCATAGTAAGTTCGAGGACAAAGCACGTAGAAGTTTGCAAAGAAACCGATCGCGTTACTTAATTAATTTGATTTTTCTATTTCGTTCATTACGTTTCAGCCAGAGGATTGCATTTACATAAAATGTTGCGATATCGAAGAAAAATGATCTCAGATCACTCTTAAAAATTACCTGAAATCACTCTCGAAAAATCGACAAATATATATTCGATGGATTGTTCTAACACTAATTTATAACTGCAAAACTTTGAATAATTTCTTCGATAAAACAGACAGTAAAAAATTCGATTAATCACACGGTCATATCACCGTACCTTTGTTGAATTATACCAAAATAAAAATGAGCAACCACTCTTAAATCGCGAAAATGTTTTCATCGTTCAAAATTATTATCTAAAAAAAATCATCTCAGGAACCCAAAGAGGTGACGAACGATTCATCGAGATTCATAAATTATCCGAGGAAACGCGAATAGTAGCATCGTTAACGATCGTCGAAGGCATTCGCTTCCTAGTACGCGCTTATGCGAAAGCATTTTCACTTACAAAGAAGGAGGAAGCAGCGATCTTTCATCGCGGTTCATTCAACGCGAACTCGAGGATACACGCCAGCTGAAGCTTAGCGGTGCGGAATGTTCAATAGCGACGAATAAAAAGTTAAATTAACGAGACTGAACACTTCCTTTATTTTTATTTTTTTGTTCTATTCCTAATTACCAGACTACGAATACTTTGACGAAGAGTTTAAAACGTTCAAAAATGTAGAAAATACACAAAATACACATGGAATGTATAAAATGTCTTGTTATAATACTTGTTACGATCCTCTTTAGTTGTATTCTTAAAAATCTAAATTTCCATAATCATAAAGATACGAATCAAACATGTTTACACTTCACAGAATGTACGGAATTCGATATATTTTCTTCTACGTTAGTGTAATATGCTGAACCTACAGTACTCTCTGATTTATCTAACGTGATTTATTCAAAAAGAAAAATTTACACAGAATTTTTTATTCGTTTCATACAGGAAGAAACGTTATGGTTAAACTTCTATATTTCACTTCAATCGTTTCTCTCGCGTACGAAAAATTTTTATTAACATAAAATATTAACATAAAATAATAAGTTCACATTGCCACGCGATGTGAATGACCTATTCGGTAAAAATTTACGTCAAATTTCCAATGATTACGTAGAATCACGAGCACGTGGCTTCGATCGATTCCACGCGCCTGAAATCCTGACCATTTTCGAAGTAATTATCAAGGAAGAAAGCAGGCATATATATATATATATATATATATATATATATATATATATATCCGTTTCGCCGAAGATAACGAAAGTCTTGCCGGTTAATGGCCGAATGATAAATGCTCGCGGTCGACGATAATCCACGGGGCCAGCGTAACGGTACTTAAGTGGCACTGCTATACAATTCGCGTTTCGATTTAGCGATCATCGGCCAGATACGTTTTACGGTACACAATCGTAAATCAAAAGGTTTTTTTTTTCTTTTTGTTGCCGGAATAATACAGCCCGGCGAGCAGCAGTCTTGGGAGGAAATTACACTCGCCCGGGACAGGAATCGCGGCGAATAAAAATGAAACGTTTAGCGAGGATAGCATTTCGAATGACCACCCCTCAACGGCGGTTGGAAACGTCGCTTTCTTCGTTGTCTCGTTGTTGATCAAACGCGGCTGGCAACTTTTTCGAGATCAGGCTCGAGTGGGAAGTTTTTTTTTTTTTTTTTTTTTGTTTCGGATCGTTTGACCCAGAAACCGCGGTATTTGGAACGGAATTTAGAGAGGACTGTTCTCGACGACTCGAAAAAACTTTCGGTAAAACTGTAGATGCTTATATTTATTTATACAGATAATAAATTTTCGTGTTTCTTCGCGTAAAATTTTTGCAAGATCTCGGATTATCACTGACGAATGTTTACTACAAATTTCGTGGTCCACTAGTAAATTTAAAGATGTAGAACGTGGAGGGTATGAGAAATTGTAAAGAAGTTTTTTTTTTTTTAATTGCTAATTTTTCTTCGATACTCTTATTCATTCAGTCAGTAAACAATAAGTAGTACACACGGTTCGAAACACTGGTCCAAAAATAACCAGGTCACTGACATCAACCTTGTTCCTACATCTCCGCGAACTTTCACGTGAAACGTGAGTCTGGCCACCGGACCAGCATCACTACACCACTTTCTTTCATCCAACGACCTATATCGTGTACTACAACTCTACAAATACTTTCTAATTCTAACACCCTGTGTCTACATCTCTGTATACACCGTGATTCTAAATTCGATGCATTGAAATAGAAAATCCTCACGTGAAACATTTCCAAATCGGAGATACGAGAATACGGCTGTCTTAATTACATTGGTAAAGTATGAAATTAGTCCGAAAGTGTGCACATAAATTTACAAATATGTAGCAAATATTCCAGATTGTTCCAGTGGAATATTAACGCTTATTAATGGATCGTTACTTGAATACTTTAATAATTATTTTTCCAGATTTTACTAACATCATCACCATAATCTAGTTCCGCTACAGAGCCGACGAAATTTGTAAATATACTCCACACCACGCGACACACACGCTTAACAAAATTTTCCAAGTGTTATGAAAAATCTTCTCAATCTCTCACCTTGCGATTCCTAAGTATCAGTCTTCTCAAGATTAGACCAACGCCAACGGCGATCGGAAAGACAACCAGCGTCGCCAGGATGTAGCTGACCACGGCGACCGTCTCCTGGGATGCAATGGCGTCCCCGTCGTGTCTCTTCGATATCACTTCACTGATATTCACCGACTCCCTCGGACTGACCGATATCAATTCATTCTCGAAGAACGTCCTGTTCAGTTCGCTTGGATACACCGAGGTGTTGTACTCCGGCAGGATCATGTGGTGATAGGCAGGCGGCCTGTGTCTCGTTCGATTGTTGCCACTTCCGTTCGTGGATCCTCTGCCCGGACCCGTCGGTGGCACCTGCGTGGTCGTTTCACGACTCTCCTCCTGTTTATTATTATTATCCCTTCTCGTAGTTTCTGGAACACGGGTTGAATTCGTTTCGTTCGTAGCACTCTTCGCGGTGGTAACCGTGTCGTTGGTTTTCTCGGCCGTTCTCGCAGTCGCCGGTTGCCTCGTGCTCGCCGGAAGCTCTGCTCGTCGTTCCGTGCCGCGGGAGAACGAGTTCGTCGGGCCGGTGCTGTTGAAAATGTCCGAAGTGTTGTACAAATGCATTATAGGCAGCACGTCGTCTTTGTCGGGCGACGTGCCCTGAGACTTGTCAGACAGGTTTCGACCTCTGACTTCCGGCGACCTTTCACCTGACACTCGTTTCCCAGATCCTGTCGAGCTGTCGGTGGAAGTGTCCGACTGAACATCCCGCGTAGTCGAATCCGAAGATCGGTCAGCCGTTGCTCCCGAACTCGGTATTTTCGTACTTTGGCTTTCCGGAATGGTAGAGATTTCTATTTGAACCGTACTCGTCGACGCGGTGGTTGGAGCTTCCGTCGTTGCGAACGAAACCGTCGCGCCAGTTGTCGCGTCCTTCGACCTGTACATCTTCTGAATTTCCGACGGGTCTAAGTTAGACGTTTTAGACATCTGTTTGTACATTTCGGTGGTTTTGATATCCGCGGACTCGCTCGACTTCGTGGTGAAAGTTTCCCTCTCGAGTGGCGCTCGAGTAGTTTCCGCGATTATTCTGGGTGTAACCGGAAAAACCGGCGCCGACATCGGCGTGGTACTCGTCTCTTTGGACGCGATCGTTTCGTCGGGCGTCGCGGTCACTGTCACGGTCGGCGAACCACTTCCGTTCACGGTAGCATTATCCGCACCACTCGCGCCATTTCCATTTCTCGCTGGAAGAACACTGTCGCTTTCACTTCCGAACCCGGTATAAACGTTCTCGTCTTTGGTATAAACGTTCGTATTACCACTCGGCGGAGTGACCACTTCCGTCAGGTTAACCCCATCCTCATCCGTGGCATTCGCAGGTGTCTGAGGAGTAACTGACACGATCGTTTCCTCCACGGACGGAGCGAACGAGATCGCGACAGGCGAGACTCTCTGCTGCATCGTGACGCTCTCCGCTGTCACAGTTTCCGAAACCGTATCCTCTGTCAACGTTCGATTCGCGTCAACTCTCGTTAGCCGAAATCCCCGATCATCCACCGCATCCTCTACATCCTTCCTCTCCGAATTCCTTTCGTCGCCAGTCGAACCAGACTCGGACCCGTTGTTCGTCTTACTCAAACTCTCCTCTATGCCGATCTTGCTCGTCCCTTTGACCCTTCTGCTCGCAGGAAACACGGTCTGTCCATTTGTCAACCTTCGTCGCTTGCCAATTACCGAAGCCACGTCCTCCTCGGGGCTCGTTCCACTTCGTTGATTGAGCACCGCGCTGGCCGACTTCCTGAGGAACCTCCTGTCCCCGTTGAAACCCTCGAAATCCGTGTTCCTGACCCTGGTGTGATTCCAGCGGACGGTGCCTCGTTGGTGATGGCTCGTTTCCGTTGGCTTCGTTGACCTCGGCCCACTCTTGTTGTTTACGCTGGTCAGCTGCACCAGCGACGTTCTGTTGACCGCACGTTGTTGCTGCGACTGCGGCGTCGCGGCTGCAACCACTTTCCTCTGTCGTTCCCCCACCAGGTGAGCAGTGGACGCTCCACCAGCTGCGGCTGGTTCGACGGTCGTGCCGGCACTGAGTTCCGCCGGCGCTCGGCCAGCCTCTATACCACTACCGGCACGAGGAAGCAGAAGAGACAGCGGCGGCGGTGGCTGACGCCGCTGCGCTGATCCGGTCGTTATCTCGGTCGTACCGGTGCTCCGCTCTGGACCTCCTTGTTCCTCTCTGCTTAACCCAGGTCCGGTGTAGTTGCGCAATAGCCGCGTCACGTTCGTTATCGTGTAAGCGTACACGTGCTGCTGCTGCTGCTGCTGCTGCTGCTGCTGCTGCTGTTGCTGTTGCTGTTGCTGCTGCTGTTGTTGTTGTTGTTCTTGTTGTTGTTCCTGCCGCTGATGTCGATGCGGATCCTGATTTCCCTCGTGCTCCGCCTGGCTGCCCTCTTCCAGTTGCTGCTGCTTCTGTTCCCGATGTCGAGACTTGGACCGAGCTAACACCGGCTCGTCAGCAAACGCGCTCGTGGACGAAATCGCGGACGCGCCGGTGGATGGACTCGTGCTCGATGGAGTGGGAACATGGCCGGAAGCGACGCTGCGAACTCGTTCCTCCGTGGAATCGACCGGTTTAACGGTATACTTCTCCGCAACGTCTGCACCGATCGCGAAACTCTCCTCCAAACTACCTTCGGTTACGATGATCCGCAGGGTGGATGTTTCAGGGGACGCCGGAACGATTCGAAACGACTCGGTGGTCGGCCGACCGGTCTTGTCCTTCGAGGTCGAAATTTCAATGTTGTTGCTCTCGCGCGAACTGGTCTCCAATGCCTGATCCGCCTGCGCTTCCTCCGCTTTCGAGACATCCGGATGATCGTTCGCGTCGATCCTTCGTATCTTCTTCTCCGTTTGCTCTCCGTACATCTCCGTGTCCATCAACTCCGTGGGATTCTCGTGTATCGCGAGCGTGGATTCGTTCGAGAACGAACTGTCGTTCTTCCTTCTTCGCGCGTAGCCCTTCGACGTCCTCGCGTTCTCCAGCCGGTTCAACGTCGTCGAGACAGCCTCGGGCTCGTTGGTATCCACGGGACGCTCTTCGATGCCGATTTCACTTTCGGCGTGCTCGCGCACGTTCGCGGAAACTGGCTGCGCGTACGGTATCTGGGTCGAGTCGGTCGCATTCCTCGTTTCAGCGACCACGTGGGTCGCAGCATTTCCTCTCTCGCGTTGCAGCTGGTCCACCGTGTCAGCGTGAGCGGACGAGTTATCGTCGCGAAATTTATCCAATGAGTCGGCTCTAGCCTCCGTGCCATTCCCCGTTTCCCTCGCTGTGATCACATTCGTCGAGACGATCATTCCCTCCGAGGTTGGCCTGCTCTTTCGATAGTAAACCCCGTTTTCCGGGCTTCGAAACGCGTTCTTGATCTTCGAAACCTTGTTCTTCTCGACGGTCTGCCTTTCCACGGCTATGTTCATCTCTTCGTTGATGATCTCCTCCAACCTGGGCACCGGCACCGGCGTTGTGCCGCTGAATCTCTTCATCGAGTACCGTCTTCGAGAACTGGACGCGGTCGGCACTGTCGGCGTCGATTCTACCGAATTATTCCCAGTCGTGTTCTGTGTTTCAGGTTGGATCTTCTGGCCGAAGTACAGAAACTGCGACATATCCTCGATGGGTATGTTGCTTTCCACCGGCCTGAAATAATTGTACAGAGACTCCGGCATTGAAACGATGTTCTTCCTGCGAACGTCCGTTTCAGAAGCTTTCTGACTGCTTACTGTTGATGGCAAGGTCGTCGAAGAAACATTCCTATGACCGATCGAATGGTCACCTTTTTTCACGTTACTAGAAATTGGTTTACCTTCGATGGTGGATATAGCGAGGGTCTCGTTGCTCGATTTCGTTGAACTTTGCTCGGTCGCTTGCTCGGCTCCTACGTCCTTCGACAAAAACTCGATGTCCACGTCTCTGCTCGATGATTCCGGCACGAGGATTCTACTAGTTGTCTCATCGTCCTGTTTGGCGGCAGCCGACGCGGTTACGTACATTTCGTGCCTGGTCTCTTGAGCCTCGAGAACGTCCGAGTCTTTCGCAGAGCCGTCGAAGGGTCTCGATGTACGATTCAGATTCCGCGATTCAATCTGTCGCTGGCTGAAGATCTGCCGTCTTCTCGCTGCGAGGATGCTGCGAAGCGCTTGCTCCCTCTTCGCTTTCGACGACGGCAGCTCTGCCTGAGCGGGCATCCGACCCTGACGATGATCGCCGATCGAGGACTCTGCAAGCAAACAGTTCGCCGTCAGCAGTTTGACGAAATTGCTCTTATCGAATCATCGTTAGTGCTAGAACGACATGTTGCTTTTCTAACTAAGCTATTAAAGTTACGCCAGTTTTGAAATTTTCTTCCGAACGGAAGTTTCATCGAGAATATGCTGGGTTCCCCTGTAATCTTTCGTAAAATCGTGCGAACCGTAATTGTAATAAACGTACTGCGAACTGAGATTTTGAATTAAATCCGTATAACGTATAGAGAGGTTTTATTAATTTTGAATCAACTTTATCGACTTTTCCCTTGATATTAATATTGGACTTTTTCGTACTCTTCTGATGGACAATTTTTGGATAGCATAATTCTGGTAATATTAATCGGATCTGGCTATAATTGCGTGCGTTTGAAAGATATAGGAGTATCATGGAGTAATTAAAAAAGTACAAAGTTGTTTGTTCAGTCGAAAGTTATTGCGCTTTGAAAATGAAATTAAAGAAGACAATGAATACATTTCGAAATTTTAATAATAAAAAGGAAAAGAATGCGATTCAGGCTGCTAAAAAAAAATTTGTAACGTTTATGCAGTATCAATACGTGTGGCACAAAGCATCAAGCGTTTTCAATCTGAAAATTTTAATGTCAGAGATCACAAAAGTTCCACGGTGACGGGATTATGGTTTCACCTGCCGAAAATGACTACATATTTGGTTTGATAAACTTCAACTGAAATATGAAAGAAACTTGGTTCATTCTTGCATCAAAATACAAAGAAACTTTTTTCCAAGCCCAATGTCAATGCAAATTTAATTTACGCGAATGTCGCCCGTGCAAATTTTGATAATTTTGCGGGCACAGTTGAAAAAAAATTCCACTAACTCAGTGGAGTTTCTGAAAGTAGTTTGCACAGGCATCCACGGTCAATTCGTCACGTTCGAGGTCGTACACAAGATCGGTGTGATATAACGGCGCTCGAATTTGACGCGTGATTGTAATCGGACCATGACTCCGGGGAATTTCGACGGGCGCGAAAGAAACGGGCGAAACGGAGGAAGCTGACGTGAAAGAAGAAGCGAACGTTCGTTCGCCGGCGCGTACGGAACCGTGAGATAACGGTACAGGGTCCCGTGGAACCCTACGCGAAAAAGAGAAAAATGAACAAAGCGACGACAAGTCCCGCCCGGCCTTTCGCCAATCTTCGAGCGAAACGTTTCGTAAATTTCGATCTCATTCACGTCCCGTTTAACTTCGATCGTTTGCAATTTGAATGGAATGCCGTGTAAATCGACCGTTCGAATAATTAGCCTCCGAACGGACGATCTAAATGGCCGATAGAAAGGTTGGACCTACTTTTTCGTGGGTATATTTCGTGAGAGGGAACGATTACGAGCGAGTCGAGCTCCGATGATGAAAACGATAAACTCGTTTCTGCCAGTTTATATATATCTACGGACTAATTGGCCGTGTTTCGTTTTTCCGAGATCGGTGCTTGTTGAATCAAGACCGGGCTAATCGGAAGTTTGTATCGTGGCGAGAAAGATTGCTTTCGTGCCGACTGATCGATTTCGCGGATTATGCTTTTCGCCTGCGTTTGTACGTGTACGTGCCACGGAAAACGGGGAGAAAAGGTGGAAAGGAATTGGTGAGGCTCGTGTAACAATTATCCGTTTGACTGTTCCTCGATGCATTGTTACGGATCCGTTTGCATTAGCTCTAGACTTTCTCTCCGCGAATAGTGCCGGAACGAGACGGAATTGCACGTCGGCGATTATGCCACCTTGTTACTCGGGGCTGATTATATTCACGTCGGGATGCGGCTGATGCATCGTTCATTGCTCTGTGATTTTATGGAAATGCGAAGTCGCTTGGTAACGGCTAGTATTTCCATTATCCTAATGATAGATGTTTTTCTCCTTAAATAAGTTGACTCGTTGCGTGTACGAAAGACATTAAAATTAAAATATTAAATGTCTAAAGGTAATTGTTCCGTTGCCTAAAGATTTCGTTCAGTCAAACATTTTTGTCGTTCTGTTACACTTTGCTATACTTAGGATCGAAAATTAAATTACATACGAAATTATCATGTGTATAATTTAATTAAACGACAAATATAATTTAATCAAATTGAACGATAAATTAAATTAAATATAATCACATTTGATTCTTCAGCCACATTCAGCAAATCATATTACGATCTTAAATATCAATTCTTCGTTCGCAACTGATTCGTTTAAGGAACATTGTCGTGGACGTTTAGGAGGAATTTTTCCTACAGGAGGGACCTGAGTGGCTGAATAAGGTCGGCAGTTTTTGTGGGAAAAGAATTTGGCCGATCGAATACCAAGGTCTTAGGTCGAGTTACTTCGTGCATGTAGACAAGAGGGGGACTTTCATCGTGATCGTGGATACAACGGCAGGAGAAGGAGAAAGGATCTGATAATACCGTTAGTAGCATTGAAATACAGTACTCGTTTATCGTTCTTGAACTTCCGATCAGATATTGGAGGAAGACTCTTGAGGGAGAAAGTTACCATTATTTCAGACGTCATCGAAATCTCATCGATGAAATTAAATTCCAACACGACGATAAACAACTGTGCAGCACGAATTTCTATTCCTGCTTCATTGGATTCTTCCTTGTTAACTAATTAGTTAAAAAAACAAAAGCGAGAGAAGGAAGAATGTTTGAACGCTTGGCGAAAGAATTAATTGCAATCATGTTTCTGTGTCATTCTCTGCGGCGTCGACGAAGCTAACGGTGCCCCTCAAACACGAAGGAGGGATGCGGTTGAAGTCAAGTGTCAAGGTCCCGGGTCAAACCGCTTTATAAAGACAGACGAGAGGAGATCTCTATCTCGACTCGCGATACGACAAAGAGAAAAGAGGAAAGGGTGTGATAACACCGTAGCGGTATCTCAAGGTAATTACATGGTACCGGTTTCCTTATAAGCAAGCGCAAATAAAAGATATCGGAGAAGCGACTTGCCACAAGCGACGCGACCAATCCCACCGGATTCGTGTCCATTTTTTTTCCCCCGCCACGTTGATAGCTGATAATCTAAGCTGTTTCATCGGTCGGACTGCCTCGGGTATTATCGGGAATGCTGCGCAAAACAAACTACAGATGTACTAATTTATGGGTAGGTACAGACGTACAGTTTCAAGACGATATAACTTTTATATCATTTGGTGACTAAAAGGAAAGAAACAAAAAAGGTATCTTAACAAAGGATGTCTCAGCTAAAGAAGGCCACCTAAATATCTCCTTCATTTTTTGTGACATGTAGCACAGTCACTTTGAATGAGGCAATACTCTGGAAAACAAATTTCTTTTGTCAGAAACACTTTTTCAGAAAGGTAAAGAAATTTGACGAAATTATTGCGACAATATGTAAACTCACTACTTGTGACAACAAATATAAAGTGATGTTCATCTTCCACTTGATTAATATTTAGGGGATCGATATTTTTATAAATATAATTTCTTTTTCCAAAAATTATGTATACAAAATTATGTATGCGTGTATAATATATAATAAATATATAATATAATGCATGTATGCGATATAACAAATCCAAGATCCCAGAAGCGCTTCTTTGACTCTCTAACAGTAAAACGATTGGCTATCAACCAACGGAATAATTAACATTATGACAATTTATTAAATATTCAAGAATAAATAATAAATAGAAGATATACTTAGTTCCAAAGAAACAGTCAGGCAATACAGAACTAGTTGCATCGGATCAAAATTACTCCTCTGTACAAGATAAAAAAGTGCGACGTGTCGTGTTTCTTCTGATTTCAAGGCAAACTCAAGAGAAAATACTAACTGTTGATTCTCCCCATCACTGGATGGCAATGCAATCTACCATTTCTCTATCAAGTGTCGACATTCCAAACACCAAAGTTGAATCCATCACTAGATAGATAGATACCTGTTTTGTCGTAGTAATTTCTAGTATCCATCTTTTTTCTCAAACATTTCAGGTAATTAATAAGCAACAGATAGTTGGAAAAATTTACGAACGGGGGAGAACGTTCTCCGCGGTTTCATAATTGATCGCGTGTAGTTGCGTCTCGGGAATATTCAACGCGGGATTTATTTACGCGGTGTTACAAATCAGTAACGCTTTCGCAATTAAAGGTGGTCTGTAAATCAGCCGAACCGCCGGTTCTTCCGGCAATGTTCCAGAGGTTTCGCGATAATTTAACACTCTTCTTTCCCCCTTTCTACCCTCAACGCCTACTATATATAGGCTTGGATGGACAAAATTTTATCCGTGGATCGCGAGTGGTGTGAACACAACTCGAGAAAATGACCGCATCAGATGCTTACGTCTCCATGTGCACGCGCATAACTTACATGTCCACGACACGTGGAAAGCAGCTTTAAACGCGAGGCAGCCGCTTCCGTGGTAAATCATCAGTGACGGAAAAACGGATGCCTCCGCACGCGGTTAACACAGTTGTCTCGTTGTTTCCCATCGTAAACCGTAAAACTGTTCATTCATTTTCCACCCGCTGGCTCGAGTCCTCCTCTCTATCCAAGAAATTAATCATTTCATATCGGTGTCTTTTCCCCTTTTAAATTTCATTCAAAAATTTTCGTTTGTCATTTGCTTTCGTTTCGAGTTAAATCGTGGAAACAACATATTAATTAATTCTCTCGTTTCTTTTTGTTAGACCAATCACTTCGCGATGAAATAGCATTGATTAAATAGAAACGCGAAGTTCTTGCATCGATGTTCTCGATGATTTGTCATCGTTTCAATTCAACGTAGTTTCCGTCGCCTCTCTGTTTCTATGTTTAGATATTAAGACGTAACAAGATGTTCTGAAATTACAACGTAAATAAAGTTAGAGCTCGCGAATTTGAGAAATTATTTCAAGCTTGAAATGTCTCTGCAAATATTTTTAAGTTGTCTCCTCGAGCAATAATTTGTCAATCATTGACAAAAGAATCGTTTTATCGAGGCCAAGTATGATTAATAACCCATCGAGTTCAAAC